GGACCACTGCCAATGTGTCGACACATTGGTAGCTCGGGTGAGTATACTGGTGGCTGATCAGACTGATGCTGATCCGTTAGCCGAGCTTGGTAATTGGCATGCAAACGTTTCATCCCCAGTGAACAGCTGAGTGAGTACTTCCTCCTTACCTACCTGCATTTACGTAGTTTACGAAGAGTATCTATTATCCTCTATTCCTTTGTTGGTAGGACAGACGCCGCTCTATCTATCCGTAAGAGCCGGTGAGTACATGCCATCCTGAAAACTTTTCGATAAACCGAACCACGCGAATAATGCGAGTGTTGCCCACTTGACCGATAATGATCACCGGATTAATCAGGCCGGGTCATTCAGTGTGATCTATCGAATACCGTAAATCACTTCAAGGCCCTCTCACGAAATGCACTCGCAATAGCGAAAAAAGCTAGAGCGATTCGACCGTGACAATGAACCCTTTGTCAACAGGAACGTCACGTGAACGCACCATGATCTACTAATCTCGCAGGTCAAGGTGTCTCTAATAGTGAGATATAAGTGGCTCTCCAATTTGCGGAATGATTTGTGCTTCACTTTATTCGCAAGTTCTATTGCAGTCCCTCCTTTTTCAAGCCCTTATATTATTTATTTATTCTCCTGACGAGACCGTGTCGGAATCATATATCTGCAAGCTGTTTTCTTCTGTGCACATGTCATGTTCGTTATGATCTCATGTATCTAGGGGGCGAGACAGACCAAGTGGTTAGAGTGTGAATTTACTGACGGGAAGGTCCGTGGTTCGAACCCGACCTCTGCCACTCGACTTCCCCTGTCTAGGCTTGGGCGACCTGGCAGTATCCCAGCCCTCGTGCCTCCTTCGTGTGGCATGGCAGCTAGGCGCCGAAAGGGTGCTACAGCTGGACGACACAAACACTATCATGTATCTAGTCCATCGACGCGAGTTAATAATGATGGAAGACCTCCGTGTGACAAAATATTCGGCCAAATCCAATAAGTGTTGAATTTCAGTACGCTTTGTTTCCACATAGTTCAAATTTCTTGGTAGGTCTTGGGGCTAAATCAACATTAGATACTACTTGCACACCTCCTACTTGAGGCAAAGCCATCCTACTAGACGAAATGAACGAAACTCAACTAAGTGGAGCTGTCTAGGCTTGGGAAACCTGGCAGTATCCCAGCCCTCGTGCTTCCTTCGGGTGGCATGGCAGCTAGGCACCGGAAGGGTGCTACAGCTGAACGCTTTTAAGTGGACCTGTGATGAGAACATGGCTGGTCTTATAACTGTACCATAGAATGTAAGAATCGCATGGCTCGTGTTCACATCTACAGGGATGCTGACAACGATTCTTAGTTTTCTCATACTGAGAAACCGTTCAAATAAGCGTCACTCACCAGACTGATCTAAGCACTAAATCCAGCGACACAAATTAGAACAATACAATTAAAAATACTTGTAGGGATAATAACGACCATTCAAAACACTCATGAAGGTCGGATGTTGGAAACTAAAAGACTACACTTACCGGGCCGCATCTGGATTGCTGCGAATAAGGAAATGGGCGTTCGCATAGTTCCCCAAACTAAGATGGTGTTTGAACATTCTGGTCCAGAGTGCCGCCTCTAAGTCAGCCAGACGTACATACAGCCCCGACTGAGGTGATTTTCCGGTCACGAGTTCTGGCGAAGTTCCATAAAAGAACGAAATTCAGAAATTACTGCATTTTCCAGCAGAAATGAGGAAGTGAATAGGATACGGGCACAGGTTAACACTAATGTTAATGCATCAGTCTTTTAGAAAGTTTGTGTGAACTAATACAATACCATTTATCTCCATGGTTTACTTTTAAGTGCAGTGGTTCCCAGCAAATCAGCATTTGAGGAAGAGTATCTTATCGTTCTCGGTACCTGAATTGGATGAAGTTGGAGCGAGATGGCTCAGTGGTTAGAGTGCAAATCCACACCGGAAGGTCCGACGTCCCCTGTCTAGCCCTGGACACCTGGCCTCTTGCTTCCTTAGGGTGGCATGGCATTTAGACACCGAAAGGGTCCTACTGCTGAATGACTTTTGGGTGAAGGCGAACCAACAGAAGACGAGATAAATACACCGGACAAACCGCTTGGCTCAGCGTCACTTATCTTCGTTCTGTAAACCACCAGACTTCTATTTCGATTACAAGACAACTGACTACGCATAGGCCATTAGCAGGTTTTTGCATTAAAAACGAGCAGCACCCAATACAGCTTTTTACATTCACAGAACAAGCATGGAGTAGGTGTCTGTTTGAAGAGAGTGTAGAGGGAAGTTTTATGGTTTTGTGGCTTTTCTATCCGGAGAAAAGGCTAAACTAACAGAGGCTATTACAAGCGAATCATTGAATATATGTAGTAGGGGTGTTCGTGAAACCAATAGGACCAAGAAATATTTCGTTCACTGCATTTAGATCTTTCCACCAAATCGAACTGTACTTACCAAATTACACAGAAGCACTGACAGCATCTACGTTACATATCTCGATGTCCATGTCATATCAGACGAATCCAGCCTTAGAGTGACTGATAGGCGAAAAACTCATAATGGGATTGGTGGTCGTTGGTTTGTTCGCTGAGCTGGGCAATTTGATTGCAAACGTTTCATCACCAATCGAGGTGACATCATCAGT